TGGCAACGCAAGGGGGGCATCATGGGCAAAACAGTATACTCTGTTATGTCCATGGTACTGTTCATGTCTATAGGCGACGGTTACCATTTTTCATCAGGTGGGATGTCAGCTTGTTTGCCATTCTAAGTTGTAAAAAAAAAATCTATATTCATTATGAGTGGGTTTTTCTTTGCTATATTATATATTGGATAACCGATATCTAATATATCTGTTATTGGGACAATATACGTATAGATATTATAACTTCAATATAAAGATATTGCTATATATTACCTAGACTTATCAATGACAAAAATTAGTTTTTTTGTGGACTAAAATACTACATGAAGGAACAAACGATGATTGAAAACACTAGTAACAAACTACTCGTATTAATTAAAGAAATACCATTAGTCTCGTAGCACGTTTGATTTCAATGTGCTAGGTAATATTTGGGTAAGTCTATTAAATGCCCCTGATTACGTGTAGGTATCGCTTAAAATGTTAATTGAGGACAAAGGGCCATAATAAACAAGCTTTCGGATAAAAGTGACCCGACATAGATACCGGTCTATTTATAGTAATAGCAATTATCACATTTTATTTTGTTCTTGTGTACATATTACAGCGAAAGTAATGAAGCTGGATATAAGTTCCTTCTTTTTTCTTTTATGACCACATTACAAAAAATGATTGGTACAAAAGGCGGACTTAATGCTATGTAGCATTTTCTCCTAGTCAACCCTTGGCAAAACAGAAATATATAATTATATATATATATATGTACAATCCAATCTTTACATATTAAATATACAAAATTTAGTCAAAGTGATGATTGACACATAATTAATCACATTAATAGATAATAAATAAATAAATAGTATCTGCACATATGTCATTATTTAAAAAAAAAATATACATTTATTTTATAATTGACAGGTTTTGATGAACAGCTAGAAAAGCAATCAATGTTTTCTCTCAAAACAAGAAAAGAATAAATTTAATAATAATAAAAAAAGACTAAAATAACATTAAATGAAAATATATGGTGAGAGGAAATGTATAAAACTTTATCAGTTGATTGTCCATTCACAGAATAGAACAGTACCTATATTAAATTTGAATATGAAATTTCACAAAAACATATTTTCAATATATTTTCAAATGTTTTAATAAACATTTCATATATATCCAGACATTCAAATGTTTTATATTATATTTGATATTAACACAACACTTTTCTACACAATAAAGTTATTAAAGACAGTGGAATAATTTTACTCTGCAACTTTAAACACAATTTTATTAAGAATATTGATAATATTACTATGTTAAACACATACTTTTCGGGTTGTATACACCTCTAATTTTGTTTAATTAGTTTATATTGTTGCTTAAATATAAATAAATATCTTATTAATTTACACGCTATAAATACCACGTTGTATATAACAAATTTTTTAACCTGCCTGTTTAATTAAAAATGTAAATATATTGTTTGTTAGCATTTAAGATTTATATCTTATATAAATAAATATCTTTTTTAATGTTAACATATAAAAAAATAACTACCAATAGATAAATATAACAAATTTCAATTAACCTGCCTGAATAATTAATTCTTAAAAATAAAAAAAATAAAAAAAACATCTTTGTGCAAAAGAATAAAAATAAAAAAAGAAAAAAACAAAAATACAAAAACAAAATACATATCTAACAATCTCCTTTGTTAACATTGTTAGCATTTAAGATTTATCGTATTATTTAGATCATGTTTTCATTAAAAATTTACTATAAATATACATATATATACATATACATATACATATAATATATATATATATACATTTTTACACACATAATGTTAACATATACATAAATAAACTGCATTGTATGTGTCCATTATATTTGCCTCCACTTGACATTATATTCTAAAAAAATAAGATCTACAGATATTCAGGCAATAAATATTTCGCGACGTTTATTAATTAAAAAGATAGAAAAATGTGTTTACTATTAGACAATCTTATTGGGGGTGGTATATTATTCCAGAGCTGTATGGAAACTTCCCTCAAATGCCACAGTTTTATGAGCTCTTTGCCTTTGAAAATAAATAGAATACAAAAAAAAAAAAAAATAGAGAGCGCATAAAGGAATTTTCTAAAGGAATTTTCATAGAACATAGGTTTATTGACAAGTGGATGACGTGTGTGACTTTGTGATGTTGGAAGGTCTTTAAGCAGTGCGTATTGCCAGTGATGACTTATGGAACCGAAACGTTCTATATAATTGCCTGAATGCAAAATTACTCAGCGGACTATGGAAAGGCCCATGCCCGGCTCTCTTTGCGTGTCTCTTTGCGTGATAGAATCCGAAATGAGAATACCCGCAAAAGAACCTAAATAACTGTCATAGCCCGAAGGATAAGCAAGCTGAAGTGGCAATGGACTGGTTATATAGCTTGAAGAATCGGCAACCGATGGGGAAGTCTTGAGTGAAGTGACCCCGTACGGGCAAACGCAGTGTAGGACGACCCTCACTAGATGGAGTAACGACCTCAAATGCATTGCAGGGCGTCAGTGGATGCAGGTGGCTCAGGACCGTTCCTTATGGCTGTTTATAGGAGAGATCTATGTCCAGCAGTGGACGGATAATGGCTGAAATGATGATGATGATATTTACATAGGACCTTGTTCTATAGATAAATCGATATTTTTTTTTATACAACTTAGAATGGCAAGCAAGCTGACGGCCCATCTGATGGAAAGTGGTAACCGTCGCCTATAGACATGAGCAGTACCATGGACATAACTGAGTATACTGTTTCGCCCATTATACCCCTCATGCGTAGCCATTCCTAAGGACTCAGGTGTTATTCTTCTGTACCCAGTAAATTCATGCCATATCTCACCCCTTAAACCGAAACACAGCCATGCAAACGCAGCTGCTTCGCGGTTGAAACACGAATGGGACAGAGGTATCCAAGCAATCGACTTTTGTACAAAGTCTCCCTCTGGTGATATACGAGTATATTAACCATTAAAGTGCTAAGAGGTAACAAATAAATAATTGATTTGATGTAAAATCCGTATAAAAAATTGTAACTAGCGACCAAATAAAATTTATAATGTAACGAAGATTCCTTTATATGGATCTTACAATAATATTGTGGCAATGGGCGTGTGGCTTAATACTGGAACATAAAGCCCTGTTAACGTATACCTCGTATTGTACGCCGTCTATTATACTAACACCGTTATTGTGATTCTGTCTTATTTCCCGTTAAAAAATTCAATGTTTAGGATTTTAGCTAAAACATACCTTTTGTTCGTCTGACATTTCTATTAAAACACGCCAGAATACAAAATAGGGCGAGATTTTTCTAGCAAAAAAAAAGCTTTTTATGCGTTGACGCGAAAACAAAAGACGTCATATTTTAACAGGTACGGATATAAATTGCCAACTAATAACTGATGTCTACATTTATGTACAATTGATTTGCAAAGTTCTAGAACTCATTTGTTGAGTTAATTAAACTTGTAACTCGAATTTTAATTGTCAAAATGTTTCAATCAAAACTTTCGATACTATAGGGCATTACTTCAAATAGTAGTAGTAGCGTTAGTTATTCGTTTAAGGCTATATTTCACAACTCCGCCAGCGTGAAGGTACATAAAGTATCCTACGTGTTAATTTAGGATATAATCTATCTATGGGTTTTGCGTGAGAGTTTTTTTTTTATCCAACTTAGATTGGCAAACAAGCTGACGGTCCACCTGATGGAAAATGGTAACCGTCGCCTATAGACATGAGCAGTACTATGGACATAACAGAGTATACTGTTTCGACCATGATACCCCCCATGCGTTGCCATTCCTGAGGACTCAGGTGTTATTCCTCTGTACCCAGTAAATTCACGCCATATCTCACCCTTCAAACCGAAACACAGCCATGCAAACACAACTGCTTAACAAACATCCATCTAATCAAGTATTCATTATTACAAATTTTCGCATTTATTATAATAATAGAATGTCAAATCTATTTGTCTTTATTTTCATATGTATTGTTTTGTTACGGAATGAAAATATCTCATTACAATGCTCAATAGTATAGTTATATGGACCTATTGACAAAATTATGTTAGTAATTTGTGAAAACTCTAAGGAGTTCCATTAAACCAACTATATGAGAGCTGCTTTATATATTTTGGCAGATTTTATGCCATGGATACATATATCAACTTTTTAATTTATGTATATGTATTGTATATGTATGTGTATGCGTATGCGTACGCGTATAATATTATATAATTATATATTATTAATATATATACATATGCATATATATATTTACCAGAGGGAGACTTTGTACAAAAGTCGATTGCTTAGGTACCTCTGTCCCATTCGTATTTCAACCGTGAAGCAGTTGTATTTGCATGGCTGTGTTGCGGTTTGAAGGGTAGGATATGTTGTAAATTTACTGGGTACAGAGGAATAACACCTGAGTCCTCAGGAATGGCAACGCATGGGGGTATCATGGGCGAAACAGTATACTCTGTTATGTCCATGGTACTGCTCATGTCTATAGGCGACGATTACCACTTTCCAGGAGGTGGTCGGTCAGCTTGTTTGGCTTTCTAAGTTGTATAAAAAATGAATATGTATTTATTTATTATTATTTTTTTTTTACAACATAGTGGGTAAACGAGTATGCGGCTCACCTGATGGTAAGTGACTACCGCCGCCCACGATCACCCACAACTCTCTTTAGAACTTTTTTTAGGTTTTCAGTAGTGAAAATATTAATATGAGAAAATTGGAAGTGAACCTGATCGACTATAAAATGAATTAATAATAATAAAAAAAGAAAATCCCAATGTAAATAAATATAAAAGAATAATAGATAAAAAGATAGCCTATATGTTTATAACGTTAATTATTAGTTTAATTTTCTTCAATTCGGTTTCCGCCTAATGTCCGAATTCACCAAATATATATACAATTTAGCTGAGCATAAAAGTTTAAAAAAATAAAAAATCGATTAAAAATTAATAAAATATGTAGGTTTAATGAGAAACTAGTAACTAAGTAAAAAAAAACAGTAACTAAGTATAAAAGTAAGAGAAAGTAAGTAAAAAACAGGTAACTTTTATGCATCCTTTTTACAGGCATAATACTTACAAGAAAGACACAAGTAAATGTTGTGAAAAGGATCCTTACTTTGTAAATAGCAGCGAAATAAGGAAACTATTTTATTACAAAAGAGTAACCATCCATGAAACCATACAATGTTTTCTGAAGCAGCGCGGAAATTTTATGGAGTGCAAAAATATTGTTAGGGTCGTCTTTCCAGACTGACATACGCTTTCTGTAGCTTTGAACCCAATGGGAAACTTATCCACACTGCTATCCACACAACGCAGTCAGTGAATGCGAATCTGTCGTGGTGAGTAGTCGCCTTAAGTGCGACATCGGTTACAACAAATAGCGACGAGAGAGTTCAAATATCAAAAAATATTTATTGTGAAATTTAAATAAAGAACAATGGAATGTGTTGTTTAAAAAGTTTAATTAATGTATTTGAAAAAGTTTTTATTGTTCTGAAAAAGTTAATAAATGAGGATTGTGCATGAGACTTGAAAAAGTTTCATAATAAGTAATGTAAAAGTGTTTTGTTTGTTATAAATAGGTACGTATTATATTTTTCTCTATTTTTACATTATATACATATATTTATGTAAATATTTAATGCACAGGGGAAAAAGTTAGTAATATTTTATATTGCTCCCACGTAAAAAAACTTTTGGTTAAACACAAAAAAAAGTTTTAAAGTTACCTAACAATTAAGAGACTTAATTAAGATAAAGTGATTTGAATTTCAATCATTTTGAGAATAAGACAATTTATTCGTATTAACTGGACGTTGAATTTCCAAAAATCATTCTTAATATTCAAAGAAATCTTTTGTTCTTAAAGTTTTAAATGGTTCTAATTAAAAAAAAAATTACTGTATATATTTTCAAATATAACTAAGTTATTATTATTTCTGTAGAATATTTACATTGATTTTAAATAATATATATACACCACATCCATACTGTTATCTCTTTTTACTGTATGCGTACTGCCTGCTGGTAATTAATGCTCTTTTCTACTCAGGGTTTACTGGAAAAGAACTTTTACAGAATTAAACTCGCCTGTTGTACATCTTTATCTAAAATAAATTATGACTATGTAGTTTTGTGTACAATAAATTGTAAATAAATAATAAACAGATGAGAGAGTGGGATATGGTAGAGAATTTATAGGTCACGGAGTCATAAAATCGCAATCCTTGAGAATGTATTATTTAATATCTTTGGAGCTGATTATATTTGTAAGCGGCAGTTATCACTTTTTGGAAGATTTGTTTGACCATCAGCTTGCTTGCTATTTAAAGTTGAATAAAAAATATAGAAATGTAGGTTAATTTTTAAAAGTAATAAATTATTTTTATACTTTATTTTTCGTAATAATATAATAATGTCTATTAATAAAAAAAATGTTTTTGATTTACCCGTAAAGACTCCATTGAGAGTGGACATTTTCTTTAAAATTTAATTTTCCTTCACTATTCAAAAGCCATAAGATTATAGTATAAAATAATAATAGCAAATTTAAAGTTACTTCAAAGTCATATGTAAAGTTTCAAAATTAGTTTTCAAGTATTTACTTTTTTATTATCTATATTTAAACAGTTGGAAAATTAGTAACAATTATTAGTACATTTTTTATTATAATATAAAAAAAGAAATTGATGATTTAGAAAAGTTTTTGTGTTAGTTATTGTACATTATTACATATTATTTTCATTTAACTTTATTGTTTTATTTTTAAATGGATCTACTATATAAGCAATTAAAAAATAAAACTTTTTCAAAGACGACCTTATCTTAAATATAAAAAGTAAAATATAAATTTACGAAAAATTTATCATGATACCTAGGTTCATAATAGCTTTAGTTCATTAATCTTTGTAACAGATGGCGTCCAAGACATTGTAAAATGACAGAACGAAATAAATTGCACCGAGCCCATACTCTATGTGTTTATCATATATAATTTAGGAATTTTTCTCGTCACCTTTCAGCTTCATCACCAGTTATAGTGTCTATTAAGATAAACACGTATAACAGGTTTATCATCTGTGATTTAGGACTAAAGTTCCATCTAAACTATCTGGATGAGTGGTGGTCCTCTACTACCTTGAAAAACAAGGCACTTTTTCTATGCACAACCACTCTTTGGTATCAACTTCCAGCAGTAGTATTTCCGAACCGATACGACGTCATAACCATCGCAGGTATGCTGCCGGCACTCTAGTGTTGCGGATAGAAACCGTTTGGACGTCGGCCTAGTAACTAGAGTATATTGCTGACAGTGGGGTCGCTAGGGGGGAAGGTATTGTTAGTGATGGGGAGGTTAGTCCCTATTACTATCAAAATACCCTATCAAGTCGATCTCCACGCGGTTTCCCCTGGAAACTATCGTGACAAATTTATCGTTGAATTCGTTACGATGAGCTAACTGACCTGCCTTTTCATCCTCATTTATCACCTTTCACTGGTATCCTGCCGGTGTATACGATAGCGCAGGCGGTGTTACCATGCCATTTACACCCATTAAAAGAAGTGGGACCGGTAAGTTCCATTACTAACAATCCTTTCCCATCGCAACATACAATAGAACTCGATGCGACAGACGATGGATCTAACAGCTTTGGTGAAACTTGGTAACATTACGAGTATTTATCAAGGAATGTTTTTGATGGGATATAAATTAGGGGCATTATTCCATGTTAATGTACTGCATCTAATGAAGAAATAAAATAAATTGCTTTCTATTTACATTCGTGCTGGGGTATTGTGGTCTCTACAGTGTGTGATACTGCAGGGTGAAATGCTAAGATATTTATCTTCCATATAACTTTATAACAAATTAATTTAAGTACGCAACTTCGTATGACTAGATTTTAGAAGGAGGTAACCACTTCTAAATGGTGTTTTGGGACAAAGTATACATGAGATTTTATTTAGACCTTCAAAATCGTAAATGTGAACATTTAATTTAATTAAAAAGTTTCTGTTTGATGCCGGGACAAACGTATATAATGGATAAAAAAATTCTAAAAATTATTAATTTGGTTTCCATTGTTCTTAACTCTTATATATACATGTTTAAATATCTTCTATGTATAGAGATCATCTAGTTTTAATTTTATTATATTAGTAAAATTCTAAGTAACAGACTAAAAATATCGATGTGCAAGTAAAATAGAAGATTTTTGACTCGCAGATCTTTCGTTTTTAATTTTTGTGTCTATGTTACGTTATATCTTCAGTAATTTTAAATTGACTTTGATAATTGTTTTTATAGTCCATAATAATTACTATCGTGCTTGTTTCAATTTCAATTTATTATTTCAGCCGTTAACTGTCCACTGCTGGGCATAAGCGTTCCCCATAAGGGGAGATTTACCAATAGTTGCCACGGTTGGCAGGCGGGTTAGCAACCACAGTTAAGCTTTTTGAGATGTTTTAAGAGGGACGTTGCTGCCCATCTCGCCCTCCCTTAGTCGCCCCTTACGACACCCACGGGAAAGGAAGGAGTGGCCCATTCTATGCCGGGGCACACACGGTGAATTTAAATTTATTTTATTCATTAAATTCAATTTAAATTATTAATAATTAATATTATGTTTTATTTTAAGAGTAAAATCTGACTTGTTTTATCTAAAGCACTAATATTACGAATAATAATTTTAAAAAGTTTCCGAGTGTGTACCTCTGTCCCACATCTGTTTCTGTTTGAAGGATGGGGTAGGGCTGTGATTTATAGAGTACGGAAGTGGAACACTACAATTCTCAGGGATGGAAACACACGGTACATCGTGGGCGTCACAGTATATTCGGTTACTACTTTCTATTGAGTGAACTATCAGCTTATTTGCTATTTTAAGTATATAAAAATAAAAATAATGGGACTTATTTTAAATTTATTTATTATATTATATATTATCATTACAATATGACACTAACATGGGCTGTTCGTGACATTTTTAAGCGACATCAAAAAGAAGTAGGTTGTATTTTTTATGTTTTTTACCTTATAACTTTGTCAGTAATAAACTGATTCGGAAAATTAATTTTTAATCTGAGGTATCACTTACAAATCACTCTCACCAATTTCGATTAGGGTTAACTAAGTTTCTTTTTTTTTTAATGATGGGTTGGTGTTCCTGTTTTCACTTTGATATTATATTTACTTCTACTGTTTAAAGAATATTTGTGTTGTTAAGCTTTATATGTCAATTATCTACAACTCTGTATGAATCCGTTTTTTTTCTATATAATCATTTCATTACTATATCATTTAATTTCTCTATATACTTACTTTGTACACGTATGGTTTAATTTTGTCAATTAATTACAATACATAGATTTCTACTATTGTATATATTTCGGTACTTGTTGTCTATTTTTATATAACATAAAAAAATAACTATATTATTTTGTAATTATTTTAATTGTACCAAAATAAAATAAAAAGAATATCATAATTAAGAAATTTGGTTTTTAAAATAAAATACCTGGCTTTGTCACAATTAAGGTTATTTTTTTTGTGGTACTTAATCATTTATATATTTAAAACTTGCACCAATATTATAGGATTTGATGAAGGATTTTCAATAAGTATAGTTGTAACAGCGATTTTATTGAAGCAATGTCTTCCATACAACCTTTGGGATTAAAAAATTAATTATGCAGTGATTGAAATACCTCTTTTTGTGGGAACAAAATTGATTTGATCTTTTCTGTGGGACTAGTATGCTGCAAATAATGTTGCCAAGTTTCACCAAAAGCTGTTAGATCCATCGTCGTGTGTTGCAATGAGAAGGGATTGCCAATGCTAAATTAAAAGTTTCTGAGAATCAATCCGACTTAATATTACGTGAAGCAATTTACATACCACTGTAATCTGTTACACAAATACTAGTCCCACAGAAAAGATTCAGTTAATTTTGTTCCCACTAAAAGAGGTTTTTCTGTTATTGCATAATTAATTCTTAATCATATAATAAATAAATAATTGTTGACTTCTGGTCAACGCACATCGCTAGCAAACAATCAAGTTTCACTTAATTGCCTACTTGTATTTTTTTGCGTCCTTAGCCCTATTGTTTTTGTCTTCCGCTAACTTTGTTATGGAGTTAAGTCAATTTCATCATTTCTCTCTGCTCCTTTTATTTTCTTTTTATTAAGTATATTATTATGTGATTAGATTTAGACAAACTTGGCTTCTCGGAACTTGTATTTATTTATTGTGCGTTCGTTGAGTTATACGAATGCGGTGTGTGATTGATTAACAAAGATACAAACATCTAAACATCTTTCATATTTATAATTAGTAAAACTGATTTTAGATCAATAGTAATAATAAAGAACTATAGCATTGCCTTGTAGTCCAGGCATAAAATAAACCCCCCCTTTTTTTCCCATGTGTGTCGTACGAGGCAGCTAGGGGAATCTAATGGTCGAAGGATGGGCAGCAGTTTTTTTTTAAAAGATCACCAAAAGCCTAACTGCGGTTGCCAATCTGCCTGCCAAGCGTAGCAACTACTGGCAAAAATCCTTATTGGGGAGACTATGT